ACCCAAATTTTAATGAAAACACTAATTTAACCAAAGTTTCAAAGATTCATCATGAGGCGGATGGTAATATGAAAAAAAAAACATTAATTTGATAACCAAGTTTATTTATTAAACACCTTTTCAATGACAACAATTAAGTTATGAATAAAACTAATGTACATGAGCTGTACTACACTGACAACTGCCTTCAAAATCTTAACTGTCAATTTTAATATACATCCGTCTATGAGGTCACAGCGTCACATCTATTACGAATTTTTGTTTTCTCCAGGCACTTCTGGTGGTCAGTTCCATCTCTTCCTACTGAACATCGTTTTGATGTTAAATTGGTCAATATTTTCACCTGTTAATATATGGTGACTGTGCTAGAGCTGAACACATTCTGCTCTTAAAATGTTATTACTATCATCTATCAACAACAGTAGAAATGAAGTAAAAGGCAAGAAACTGAATCTGAACACTGAGGACAGAATAATAAACCTTAAACATTACCACAATTACAGCCTCCACAATGACCATTAAAATAAACCAACACTTCTCAAACAGAGTCAGTAAATACCGAACATCATAATCCTCATGGAGGAGGCTTTAATGCAGGCCTGTTCCATTATACTGCATTAAACTTCATCCAGGTTCACCTAATACATATATATGAATTAAAACAAAAAAATCAAGGACACTTTCAAATCTAAAACAAATCAGCCCTTTATTTCAAGTTTACCCAATATACAGGATGTGATGGGGTGGAAAATAAGTGACTGCAGAGTGCCTTAAAAAAAAAAAAAAAAAAAAAGAAAAAAAGAAGTCATTGGAGATGATCAACAGTACACTGTGTAACTGTGCTAGAGGTCCTGAACAGTCCGTCTCATCTTATAATACCATAGTGAGTCACTGTAGCACAATTAACTTATCATATAACTTACTAATAGAACTTGAGGTACAAGTAGAATTTAAATTCAGGTGTGAAAATAGGATCTTAAAGTGGACTTGTAACCTCCAAACACTTGCAGATTTATGAAGGCAAGGGATACTGCAGAACACATGGGGTTCTTGGCAGTATAGCAACATGAGCGACAGGATGATGATGACGACATCACAAAGGCAGACTCAGAAAGTAAGGTTTATTTGGCAGGTAGGTTTTCACTTACAAGATGTTTGGCTTGGTGTATATCCAATTAAGGTATTCATAGGAAATATAAAAATAAAAATACTGCAACAGTCAAATATGAATAATATAAAATGAAAACCTTACTACACAACAATGTACAAAAGTGTTAGAATGACAAAACTCCTGCTGCGTCAAGATGTGCAAAAGATCACAGTATAGACAATATCTGTCCAATGTGCAGGGTAATACCTCAAAGTGTTACTGGTAATCTGATTGTTGAATTGATGAGGCCAGATGCGGAAAGAAAAGGCAGGTGCTGCTCGTATCTTTACCTTCAGATACAGACATGCCACTTTTTCCGGCGTGGTTTGCCGGCCTGTTTCCTGACCTCAGAGGCCAGACATTCCTCTCTCCCTGCGG